GAAAAGGCCACACAAGGGATGTATGGAGTGGAACAAATGCAGGCTAAGTGCTACGATACCTATCATTATGATCTTTTAGGACCACTATCAAAGCGAATTCGGTGTAAGACCGCTGAACAAACGAAGGTCTCGGAATAACATGCTAAGAATGAATTAATCTATCCAACAAACACATGCTAAACAAACAATATATCTCGCTAGAACCCATAAATAACACAAACAAACCCTCTATCATCGTACAAACCCTTCTCTCAGAAGCCTAGTAGCAGTAGTCATACTCACAACGAAGCCTTCTCAATCCTCCTCCCCAACGCCCCCCTCGCCTCCTCACACATCTTGCCAACATCCACATTGGCAATAATCCCATTCCGATAGTTAATCGCCTCCTCAATCTTCTTGAAATCACTTCCTACCCCATCAGCCCTCCACTCATAGCAATCGCCAATGAACCGACTACTCTGCACCAGCCACTGAGACCGCTCGCGTCGGTTCTCATCAAACGCCGCCAACACTGCCTGAAGATCCTTGTGCGTTTGCACGCGCTCGTCTTCCAGCAGTGTTGCCAGCACGGCTGTATCCTCGATACAGAAGCCCGCGCCGGCGCCGTGGTGCGGCGAGGTGGCGTGCGCGGCATCGCCGGAGATGCCGACGCGGCCTTTGTAGAAGGTCGGGACCGGGTGGTCGCCTAGGTCGAAGATGGCCCACTATTTACTCATCAGATTCTATTGTTTAAAGTAAAGGAGGAGGGGAAGGGGTAATGCATACCACGCTGAGTTGAGGATCAGTCAACTTGAGCAAGTTGGTCACGTTGGGTCCATAGCCGGCAAAGTCGCGGAGAACTTCATCGCGGGTACCCTGGCGGGTGAGTCTGGGGTACTCGGCCCATTCGTCGGTGGTGGTGTGGAAGGCGACGATGTTGAGTGTTTTTCCGGCGTTCACGGGGAAGGTGAGCATATGGCCACCGGGGCCCATCTACACTTATTAGTATTGTTTGGTAGCTTTGGAGTCAAGAGGGCTGATCACTCACATGCATGCAAGAATTCGAAGCTAATTCCTCCCCGATCGCCTCAACCGCCTTATCCATCGGCACGAGACCCCGGTACGCATACTTGTGAGTATACGACGGCTTCGCAGAAGGATGGTCCGCACCGACGATAATCTGGCGCACCTGGGACTTGATTCCATCACACCCGATGACCAAATCAGCTTCATCCTCGGATCCATCGGCAAACTTCAAAATCAGCTTGCCATCGCTAATGCGCTCGTGAATATCATCCAGGTGCTTGTTAAAGCGGGAAATCTCCTTGGGAACGAGCTTGATCATTTCGTCAAGGAAATGCGCGCGGTGAACGCCGTTCTGGCCAAGGCTGTTGGAGATGGTGAATTCGATTTTTTGGTGGCCGTTTTCCTCTTGACTAGTGTTCTTGCTGTTGTATCCGTCCAGATAGTCGAACCACACCTTTTGCTTGGTGGGCCAGAGGTTCCGCGTGCAGACTTTCTCGAAGGCGTTGTAGATGCCATCGTGGCAGTATTTCATGGCTTGGACGGCGTTGGGGCTGAAGGAGACGCCGGCGCCTACTTCGCCGAATTCGTGCGCTTGCTCGTAGATGGTTACGGGGATGTTGCGGTGGTGGAGCGCGATGGCAAGTGTGATGCCTGCTATGCCGCCGCCGATGATGGCGACGTGGAAGTCTTTCTTTGTGGGGGACATTTTGTGTTGTGGTGTAGATGAATTGGAGGATTGGATGATGGGTTGAGGTGGGAGGTGAAGTGATGGGGAGTTAGCAGCGACAGGGCTCTTTAGGTCTTTTATCTACTAAGGCTAGAGGCTACAGATAGCTTGTTTTGAACGATGTCATTGCTGAGATGCGTGGCGCGGAGAGTCGGATGCTGATGAGGCACGTCGGTACCAGGGGGACAGTGACCTCAGAGTCCATCGGATGCTGTCTGGCTAATCCCCGTGGGGCATCGGACACGGATATACGGCACTGCTGGCGCCGTAGCCGATGGACTATTCCATGATGCTGTCGAGTGGTGCTGATGGGTGATGTTATAAGCGGCAATGGCAAACAAGCTTGCAAGTGATCGGAGCTAGTTGATAGCTTATATGGAGGATTATAGGAATGTTGTGAGGGTGCTGCACCTCATTTGCGGACTACAGTCGGTGGTTGTGTGACGTGCCATATCCGATGGTAGGTGCGCTCCGCACTTCAACGGCCACCGCTATACAAGCTTTGCGGCAAGGCTGGCACACTTTTCTTCTTCTTTGTCTGTCTCGGATAGAGGAATGAGGCGGGTCAGCCCGGTATACGTGCGATTGTGCGATGTGATTCTGTCATTGTCTTGGTATAGTATGGTCGGATATGGAAAGTCTTAAGGCAATTCGGCAGATGCGCCAGTGTTTCTAGAAGTGCGATCCGCAGTTTTGCACAGCCAATGTATACTCTGCAGTTGGCCGTGATGCAGTGCGACTATGATTGATGATATCCACGATGAAGATATCGTTTGTGGGATAGCACATATCACGGGTTGCCGATAGCGTTGACCTTCATCGGTTGAATGACCAGACATACGGGTTCCTACTCCGTAAATTCCCCAGATACTCCCCGAGTTGAATCTCGATGGTGGCACTTCAATTTCCATGGATCAATATGCATCTTCAAGGCAGTGTTGAAAATTTTGATGAAGAGGGGGCATCCCACGAGAAAAAGTATGGGAGGCTGGACTGTGGCTAGCAAAGCGAACCAGACCAGGCAAACATCCGTGGGGGGCAATGCTTAGTTACGGTATGGTAATAATTGTAACGGAGTTTAAAAAGAAAAACGTGCCGAAGTGGGGGGGTGAGTAAGCAGAAGAGTATCAAGTCTGATTGGACGATCCGTTGCCCATCAACCGGCCTCTAATTGGGTACCGTGCATCATCCCCTGCTGGCAAACCATCCAATCATGATGCTTTGCGCACTGCAATATGCCCATTTAGGAAAGTGACCAGCTGCCGGCAGAACTGCTGCTGCTTCGATGTGCAATTTTTGGCGCCACCAATGCAGGCGGCTCCCCCAGAGACCGCGGCTTGGGAACCTCTTCCTGTTGGAACGATGCATGGTCCCCTGCGAGGAGTACGATGTACCTATCGTCCTGCATGAACATCGGCTGTGGTATTGGCCGGATGAATGCAAGGGATCAGAGAAACAATAGCACTGTCAATGTTATTGTCAGCTCTGCTTGTCCTACAGTAGATAGTTATGTAGTATCCAGTGTTAGTATAGATCCCGCTCGGCCATAAGCCATGGTCATGGTCAGCGACACACTAATTACCAAGTACGGCCGTACATCGCAGTAAGCCTTGACTCGTGCTATGGTAAAACCCAAGGGTCGAACCGCACGCTCTGACTGGCGGGCAATTAAGTGTTCATTTTTCCAAGAATAGAATTTTCTCCGCACGGAATGCGAAACTCTTTCCAGGCCATCTCTGTGTCGGTGAGGATTTTGGTAAAGCAACTGGAAGACCAATGGCAACCATGTGGATTATAGACTAGGTCAGAGAACAGGCATTATTCCTTGCATATCGAATTAGAACCGTGGATTGTCGTGAACATTCCTCTGCAAGACTAGCGGCTGGGGGGAACAATCAACCATATCGGCTGAAGTCCGTAGGTGTCGAACCGAAGCTGAGCAGGCTACACCAGGGCCGTCCCCTCATGTCGCCGAGCTAGAACCTCTTAGCCGCGTGTGCAGGTGCATAGACTTTCTTTGCCCCGACAAAGTACCACTACTTTGACCATTGACTTAGTATCCATAGAGGGTCAAAGACAGCACGGCCAACGGATCAGGATTTAAACAAGGACGGAGCTTTCCCCTCCCTTGTGTGCACTCCAGCTAAGTGCGGGAATTCACGGCAGCCAGTTTCGCTTAAGGGCAACTTGGGCATCAACCCCTCCACACCGGTGACCTGCGATAGTGTGATTCCGAGGCACCACTCTTCTCGGCCGTTGGACTGGTCCCTTGAAATCACCGGGTCATGGGTGTTGTCTTTCCCAGGTCTCAGGTAGTAGTAACTATCTCCCCCCTTTTTTTTTTTTTTTCTCCCGGAAAGCGGAATTCCGCATAGCCATCAGCATCGGGGTGATTTCCAGGAGTCCAGACACAGTTAGCCAGCGATTTGCCCCAGCCTCCCATGGAATCAGCGGTGGCCACTTGTTTCGAGAAGATGGAAAAATTTCCTCTCGCCCATCGCCTGCTAAGGTACACCCGTTTCGAGAGCCCCACTCAGACGGGAATAAGGAACTGGAGTGGCGTCGCGCTAAACTAAATTGGACTCGCCACTAGTGGCCTAACTGCTTTGGTCTTAGGTCCTTTCCACTGGAAAGCTCCAGCTGGGAGCTCTTGTGCTTGGGTTGCATGGAAGCTCAACCTAGAGCTGGGGAGAGCTGGTGGTTTGTGGTGGTGGTGGTGGAAAATGAACCAGAACAATGAGGGGTAGGTCGCACATGGCCGGATGCCCAGCTTGTTCACTCACCACGTGATTCTACAATAACCCATTGGAATTGCCTAAACTGACTACCTGCGAGCAATGTGACCATTGTGTTGTATCGGTCATCATCCATCAAGGCCAACCCCCATTCATCCGTAGTCAATACTAATTATGCTGATGCTGCAGCTGTCGCAACCCCCTCAAGAATGGAGGGGTTCCACCGGCATTCCCGGAGTGCTGGTCATCGTTACCATACCGTATGTATTCATGTATGGTATGGTATTTGACCAGCTTAGCCTGCCAACCTGCATCTGTCTGAGGGACGGAAGTCTCGGTCGACCAAGACCCCGTCAGTCAAAGTTCAGCTGTTTGCCCTTTTCAAACGCGGACATGGAATTCGCACGGATCATATAGGATGACTGCTACTGGAAGTCCTTGCCGAGTAGCCATGTCCTTAACTTATACCCTTGACTGAGCTACGGAGGTGTCCGCCATCCCAACTAGGAAGGCAGTGCCCCTTCCCCATGTCACCCCTCCTTTGGCTCCGGTAATGTAATGTAAGCTTGACCCGGCTCTGAGCTCCTGCTCCAGTGGAGTGTAAGTGTCACAGACTTATCAGCAGAGTAGATCCGGATCCGAAGCTTTCTACAGTGCCTCACTGTACAAAATGGACTGTCTAATGATACAGAAATATACTGCTATAAGAGCAGTAAAGGATGAGATACTGATCAACATCTTTTTGGCAAAAATATACTCTACAAAAAGAGTAATGTCCGCGACGAAGCGAGGACCGAAATTCATGTGTGCGGATATCGCGCTGTCCCACACTTTATCGATAGGCGCAATCGGCATCAGATACCGCCGCGGTACGAAATCGTAATACCGAGTAAGAGCACATGCTGTATCACCACCAGGATGATAATGCCTCATAGGGATTGATCGGATGAGAATAGCTTGAAAGACTTTTCTCCTGCTGCTTGGCTAACAAGCTATCGTCGTAGCTCCATGTAGCAAGCAGTCTAGTAATAACTTCTGGATACCTGTGTAGCTAACAAGCCAACCAATATCTACAATCTCCCCCCCCAGGAGCTCCCATCGGATGTCCGTTATCTTGCCCGTGAGCTTCCCTCTTTTTTCGCCTCTCATCCGCGGTACGGGCTGTAGTAGTATGCTTATCGTGTCACCCGATCCAGTGCTTCGTGATACCTTATCCCAGCGCCTCGAGACCTACAAGTCCAGTTACTGATGCACGAGGACGTTTTCTGGATTGTTCACTAATCCTGGATCCTCCGATCATCCTAGCCAGTCCAAGCTACATGGGACAAGCCACGCGGTCGAAGTGCTTCGGACTAAATCTTCCCACTTTTTTTTTTCTTTTCTTTTTTCTTTCTTTCAGGCATTCTTTGACTTTTTCGTCTTGTATTGTATGTAAAATCATGTAAATTGTAAGTGGATTACCATTCCCACCCTCCTTTTTTCGTTTTTCCCCTCCGGATAAGTCGCCTGCTGGTCGCCTTTTTTCACTTTTTCTCTCTTTTTCCCTTCCTTTTGTTATTTTTTAGGTCAGATTTCTGTTTTTTGCCTAGTGGGTCGTTGCCATCCCCCAATCCTTTGGCTGTCAATTTTCTTTTTTTCGAGGTCACTAGCCCATTCGTAGACTAGCTTGGCTGGACAAGACCTGTAATCGGCCTAGCTCCTTGACCTTGACCTTCCCCCCCCCCCCCTCCCCCTTCCTGGACCTGACCGATTCCTCGATTGTGATGCTTTAGTTTCCTGCCACTACGCCGGACGTGCTTTTGACTACTACTTACTACTAGTAGTACTGCTGCTGCTGCTGCTTCGGAGTACATTGCAATCTTACTACATTGATAGTAACTACCGCAAGTGGCTCCGAAAAAGAATAGCTCAGCCTGGACAGCAACAACTAGGGCGAATTTATCTCCATATTACTCATACACTCTATTACTTTGCCGTCTAGCTATTCTCGACCACGGATTCCACCTCTTCCCCGATCCTTTTTCTCCTTCATCTTTTCGCCTCTCCAAATTACTTGCTTGACATACTCATCGTTTCTTTACCTTCTCCTTCTTGCGCTGTACATTGGAGCATGCGTTGGGAGGGTTGACGGTGCCCTAACGAATTGATCTTGATCTTGATCTATTATCTTGTTCAGTGCTTCCATTCAAGCTTGCTTGTGTGCTTGTGCTGGCTCGCTGGCTTGACCCTCCAAACCCACCCCGCCAGGACGGATCCATGCAGACCATGCCGCCGCGAGCATCGCTAACCAGCTCCTTCTCGGTCACCGACGTCAATAATGAAGTGGTGTGTCCGTTGAAGAATAACGATGGCTCCAATTGCCGGAAAAGATGTCTGGGTGTGAGTAGTACTCCTTCAGCTCGCCTTTTCCCCCCCCTCTCAGCTTTCCCTCCTGCTCCTTCTTCCCGCCCGCTATCGATCCGAGCCCCACTTTCATGCAATGGTTCAGCAAGCAGCGTGCGCCTCTGTACGAGGACCAGTGCGGGCGCAAGCTGGAGAAAAAAAAAATAATATGATCTGTCGCATTACTATCCAAGCCTAATGCTTGTGGTTAACATGTTGTTCTGCCCTTCAGGAGAAGCGCTATCGCTCCATGCAGGAGCATATCCGGAGAGCCCACCCGAACCACTACATTCCGAAGCTCCCGGCGACCGAGGAGAGCTTCATCTTGATGGTGACCACCCCTCCAGACCAACGGGCCCATCTATCTCCCTCGACTCAAGCTCCATCTCGGCGACGCAATGGTCGGTCATCATGGCTGGAATGTGTGGCTCTCAGAACGTCAACTGACTGGCTATAGAAATTGCTGATCGGGATATCTACGTTGCTGACGCTAGCTCTCCGGCAACCCCGCGGGGCATTGACGAGACTCACCCCGCGGCAGCGACCGCCGCCGTCGCATTGGCGCAATTGCACCACAACCGTCTAGCTTCCGACTGGGATACGGACATGGTATGCTAGACTACTTTGTGAGCAGTACACAAGCAAGATTGACTAACTGGTGCGCTAGGAGACTCACTCGGACAATGACCGAGACCGCTTGCGATCCGTTGAACTGCCTTCCCTGAGGGAGCACTTCAAGCAGGAGGCTTCGCTGCCTCCATTCTCATCCCCTCGTCCTCGCGAGCTTCTCCCGTCCATTCTGACGCACTCCCCGCCCGGTCGCTCTTCCACCCTGCCTCCCATCCAGCATCGAGACAAGCTTCCTCGTCCTCGCAAGTCGTCCATTTCTAGAGCTAGAAAACCGAAGCATGAGCGGACTAGATCCAAGGAATACGGCCGACGCCCTAGTCTGGGCGACCGGAAGGCGCTTTCTGCGGAACCACAGACTGCCGCTTGGGCTCAAGGCAAGCGCTGGGAAGATTTGATTGAGGCAGCTACCTCGGCCACGGAAGCGGATGACGATCATAACTCGGATGTATGTGCTTGCTTTTTTCCCGCAGGACAAGCTCAGACATGTGCTAATCTCAGCCACAGGTTGGTCGGTCGCCTACAATGCCCCCGTTGATCTCCAATATCACTTCGGCGCCTTCGGTCGGCAATCACCGGTCATCGCTACCACCGGCTTTTCAACCCTCACCCGGACTGCCGCCACCGACTTCTCATCGGCCTTTCCCTCCTCACGCCTATGCGGCGTCACCGCTACACAAGTCTTTAACGCCGCCGCCGTTTGACACCGCACGCAGTCGCGATAGTGATTTGGAACCATTTCCCTCCATTGAATCCTCGCTAGATTCGGCATCGACGGCATCAGGGAAAACCTACGCTTTCTCGAGTCACATGAGCACCTCCAACAACGAGTCTAGCCCGGTATTGAACATGTATCCTTCTTCTGCATCTCAGCGCCAGCATCATCGATTCTCAAACCCCACACCGGCGACATACCGCAACAGAGAGATCCAAATCTATTGTGCCAGTTGCAAACGCCCGTGGGCTCTGAATGAATGCTACGCCTGCACGGAGTGCATCTGCGGCGTGTGTCGCGAGTGTGTCGGTTTGTTTATCAGCAGTCCGCCCGCTTCTTTCAGAAATGTGACGTCGAGTCCGGGCAGCGCGATGTCACATGGGCCAACAAGCTATCCCAGTCCCCGAGGCTGCCCTCGCTGCCGCACTGTGGGTGGAAAATGGAAAGCCTTCCAGCTCGACTTCAGGTGAATACACCCTTATTCTTGATGTCTCCAGGGTGAAGCGCACTCTGGTGAGCTTCTGATCGAATTTTATGTTTTACGGATGTTACGATTAATGGCTTTGTGGGTGCACGGTTACTCAAAATTATGGAGCAATGACATGAGCCAGGCACACGAGCATCACCCAGTGGTCGATGAGTATATGATGTCGCCCTTGGACTGTTTATATCTCGGAACGAGTTATTGAAGGGCTGGCCCGACCATGATTCTCACATGCCATGATAAGGAAATCTTATGAAAATCCGGGATTTTGGGGTGTTTGGTAGGTATACAACAACGCTGGGCGGGTATATATACTACATGGTGGCATTGGTGTTTTGATCTTGACAATTCTGGTTTATGTTTTTGGATGATTTACGTGGGTCGCATTTACGAATATATTGAACATTGATGTAGTTTGATTTGAATAGATGGTGTCGTCATCTTTTTCCAATATTTCCAGAGCTTCTATGCTACTCTCTTATGCCTTGCTGGGCCACCAGCTCCCACCCATCAACTGGCCCACCAGACCACCAATCAATCTGGTTACTCCCATGCTCTTCTCATCCTGTGCCTTGATCATGCCTTGCTTGTCATGCGCACCATCTTCACCCGCAAAGAATCTTACCAGCACCTCCGCGGCTAGTTTGGAGTCATCACCGTTTCCGTCCACGTCTCCAATTGCCGTCACATACTGCTCGACAGCCTCTTTCGCCCACCCCAATCTCCCTCCAAAGTCGACACATGTCTCACGGTTGACGAATGAGTCGAATTCAAAATGACCTTGATAGGACAGAACACGTCCTGGGCAATACAAGCCTTGAATCGGGCAAGGCTTTGATCCCCCAATGTTCATCCAAGGCGAGGGAAGCGCTGTCTCAGGTGAAGACTCAACCGTCACCCAATCCCCATGAATCATCTGCAGTCTCAACGCGCGCTTTCCCCTCAAGCAGGGAAATGCGTCCACAAACCCCTTTGTGAGTTCAACCTGGGCCAGTCCAGCTTCTTTTCCATCGGGACAACATCCCACCTTGACCTCATTGGCAGAAGCAGATCCCGCAAGCAAAGCCTCTGCAAGCGCCTGGTGGCCAAAACAACTTCCAAAAATCCGCACATGCGGATACTGCTCAAACACAGTAGTAACGAACTCCAGCAACGGTGCAACCCATGACTGGTACTCAGCACCATACGTGGACGCCACTGACCCCGTAATCAAGACACCTGTGATAGGCAAGGCCAGCGGATTGATAACCTCCCCAGCCTTGGTCACTGTGGCAGTAGACTGCGTGCTTAAACTAGCCAGCGACGGCAAATTACCACCAAGAGTATCGAACGCAGTGGTGTGGATCTCAATATCTTCATCTCTTCCTTCATCTTCTGCAATCCGCCCCGCAGCAGCCCGAAGCAGCTTGCGAAATTGGGTACTATAAAGACCGCGAGCGTAGTAGACGTTCGGAACCGGGACGTCGACGTCCAGGACGGCGATGTGGAGATGTTTCTGGGTTCTCATCGTGTTCTGCGTGCGCGCGTTATGGAATTATTGAGGGATTTCGGAGAGGGGTGAGGGGTAGATGCGTCTGATAGAAAACTATTATCTAAACAGATTGGGACTTCGATAAGGCGAGAAAGAAAGTGTGGAACCGCGGACCCTGGGGATCGAGTTGCCTCTTTCGGCAGGTGATCGAGATGCGGGCGCGCCGCTTTAGGGTTGGATCTCGCTGGTTCGGGGAGGTTATTGCGATTTGGGTTGAGATGGCAATTAATTACTGCTTGTCATTATACTATGCCCATAGGATTTATTTCAAAGGGTCTATGGGTCAATGGGTGAGGTAATACGTTGGTTGTATCCAAGTTGGGGGTTTTCGCTACCAGTTACTCTTG